GGAAAGAGAGATAATTTGACACCATCCTGAACTGTCGTGCTTAGGTTCAGGGCTATATGAGCAGGTTCCTGCTACTTATCTAGAACTCAGCAGTCTTGCACTGTTATGCCATAGGAAGTGGAGTGGATTTCCTAATAATTTACCACCACAGGACCTTCAATTTGCAAGCAACTGTTGCTCTTTACCTACTTTAAACACTGCTACCATTCAACTTCCCCAGAAACTTGCAAGGACCTAAAAAATTTCACACAGTAAGATTCACTTGTTCATTTACTCAAGATACCAGAATAAACAAATAAGGTTCATTTACTCAAGATACCAGAATAAACAGATGACAACTATTTTAAAACATGAAAATGAGTCAGTTCCTTTTTTTCAGACCCTGTGGGGTACACAGAAAGAGATGTGAAACTGTTTTGTTTCATTCGCTCATTTACTCAGATTCCTAAGATGAACTGCACATTTAAAGGCAAAAGTTCTCTCATTAAACAAAGTGTTGACAAAACCAGCAGAACTTGATTTACCTCTGAAATCACACTCAGATAGCACCATGTAAATGACAGTAGGATCCAAATCAGAAAACATTTCTGACAGGCTGCTGAAGAGCTCTTCTTTATTGACCCCATGTGGTGCTTGCAACGTTGAAAGATCTACTGGAGAGGACGCCAAGCCAATAGGAGCAATTGTTTCTGAGTTTATGCTCTTTCTTGAGGGGCTCACGCCAACACTTTTCTTTTTCTTTGGCATTTTGTTTTTCAAAATAAAAGTTTCCTGCAGGTTTTCTTTTATCCATATAACATTGGTTCCATCAAAAACAAGAGAAACTTTTTAATAGACTGCATATTCAGATGTGTAACCGCAAACCTAAAAGGAAGAGACAGAGATAGGACAGTTATTTAAAATGCAATTGAATCATCTCCTTTTTCATCTGTTTTTGTATACTACACAAAGATCTGAAACTCTTTTCTCCACTACTTAAAACTAAAAAGCGTTTTTTTAGCTATGCTAAAAATAAACCACTATTAGCACTTAAAGACAATAAAGAAAGGAGAACTATATTTTCAGACTAATAAACCCTTCTGTATTTGTTATGAATCACATGAGTGAAATATATGAAAAATAATATTTGGGTCAAAAGGCAAGATTGATTTTGAGTTAGTGTGATTCAGTGGATAATATAATAATCTTATTGAAGGAAGACTGTTTAAATTACTAACTGGTTTTGGGGTGGAAATTTCTTTCTCAGCTTCAGTTTCTCATGTAGAAAATGGAAACTATTATGACTTACCTCACAATACTAATGAGTGAAATATAAAGACTCCAAAGTTTTTCATATCTAAGCAAATAATGATGCTAAAGATTCAGGTGGGGTAGCCGTGTTGGTCTGAAGCAGCAGAACAAAGTTGGAGTCCAGTGGCACCTTTAAGACCAACAAAGTTTAATTCAAGGTATGAGCTTTCATGTGCAAGCACACTTCTTCAGATACAGAGAAAAGGATCTCTTCAACCATTACATATAGGGAGTGGGGGTGGTTGTCAGGAAGGACCAGTTAGGGTCAAGGTGCATAAGAACTGGGTGATTATAGCTGAGATTGGATTAAGGCAAGATTAGCACACAAAAACAAATGTTAACATGTAGATGTGAGAATGATATTTGATAATAATACAACATCTAATTTGAACATGGACACTTGTACCAGAGCTTGCAACGAACCCAGATGCCGACTTTGCTGCCAGATACTCCCAGACAACACAATCAATCACTGGACCTAACATCAACTACACTATCTCAGGCTTTGTAATAATGCTGAAGTTACTCTTTCATATCAGTAGTGTAATGACTGGTGGCCGTAAAAGTTATAATCAAAAATTCAGTACTGTAACTCGGAAAGATTAAATATTTCGTATTTCTACCTGTTTAGATAGTATCCCTTGGACTGCAAGAAGATCAAATCAGTCAATCCTAAAAGTAATCAACCCTGACTGTTCCCTGGAAGGCCAGATAATGAAACTGAAGCTCAAATGCTTTGGCCACCAAATGAGAAGGGAGCACTCACTGGAGAAGACCCTGATGCTGAGAAAGATTGAAGGTCAAAGAAGACGGGGACGGCAAAGGATGAGATGGTTAAACAGTGTCATAGATGCAACGAACATGAAGTTGAGCAAACTTCAGAGGATGGCGGAAGACCGGAAGGCCTGGCATGATCTGGTCCATATGGTCGCGAAGAGTTGGATTCGACTGTGCGACTGAACAACAACAACAGATAGTATCCCACTCCACTCCTCTCAAGTCTCTTGCTTCTCTCTGTCTTTTTAGGGGTTTTAGTGGGAGACTAGTTTTGTTTTCTTTCCTGACTGCAAAACAAAAATGCTAAAAATAAACTATAAACAAACCAAAAAGATCTGTCATGTATAATACAAGCTAACAACAGCTTAAGCTTTTGCACAAAAGAGCATAATATTCGAGTTCCATATAGAGAGGCTGACCTCCTCCTCCCTATTTAGATTGCCTCAGATTTTTGTGGATATCCAAATTGCCAGCTGTTAAAGGTGAACGTTTCCAGCATGAGGCATCAATTAATGTATGGCCATGTTATCATCTGTGGTTTCAGGGAGAACCCAGAACAAACAAAACAAAGTGATGTTGTAAAATAGTAATGCCTGGCAGATTAAATACATGAGCATCAACTATGGTTTTACAATATTTATGGCCCATATATTGGCAGCCTGAAAAGAAAAAAGAAAAGGCTTCAGAAATTCCATGAAAAGTAAAGTGATTTCAGGCAAAGAAAAACAGACAATGGAAACCAGCAAGAAGATATAAAACAAGTAGTGAAGGCAAACTGGAAAGAAAAGAAGACCTGAAGAAACTTAAGTATGTAAGACGTGGAATAGAAATGACACAGAATCAGCATTTAGTATCAAAGTTACTTCATTAAATAACAGTTATCAATTGGCAACAGATGACTGCCAAACCCCACAAAGTAGGAGTCCAATGGCCCCTTTAAGACCAACAAACTTTAATTCAAGGTATAAGCTTTCGTGAACTCTTTGTTCTATTGCTTCAGACCAACAAGGCTGCCCACCTTGGTCTGCCAAAAACCACATTCACCTTATAGTAACTACTTTTTCTATACAGTACTTTGCATAATGGTTCCAATCTTCATCCAAAGTGAGGCGTTTGATAGGGAGGGGAAGGACAAAAGAGGATTCACAGAGGAGTCTGATGGGCTCTATCACTAGAATCACAACATCTCAACCTGGTGGCACAAACCAAGTTGGAGTTCTGCCTACACAGCAGCACTGATGTCGTTGTACCACATGGATGCGGTTGAGGCTTTCTGCTGAAAGTTCCCATTGGCAAATGCCACCCCACCCCCCCTTTGTTGCTGACTATCGCTTTCCCATTTTTTCCATTGTTATTGCAATGTCATCACTAGTTTTTCATAACGGTATACCCTACTTCCCATACACGGGCTTGATTCCTCTCTCTTCAAATAGTGTTAGTCATTTTGATTCCAGAACCAGAAGTCTAAAGTCTGCACAAGAAGGAGAAGAGGAGAAGAAGAGATTGGATTTATATCCCGCCCTTCACTTGGAGTCTCAGAGCGGCTTACAAACTCCTTTCCCTTCCCCTCCCCACAACAGACACCCTGTGAGGTGGGTGGAGCTGAGAGAGCTCTGACAGAAACTGCTCTTTTTCAAGAACAGCTGTGCCAGAGCTTGTGACTGACCCAAGGTCACATCAGCAGCTGCAAGTGGAGGAGTGGGGAATCAAACCCGGTTCTCCCAGATTAGAGTCCACGCACTTAACCACTACATCGAACTGGCTCTCCCTAAGTTTATGGGACACTAACCTTTTTGAGCAACAGTAACTGCTTTTCCAACCTTGCAATTATTCTTTCAAGAGTAATAAAAAATATTCCCTCTCAGTCAGTCCCTGTTCAGATTCCCTCTACCACCAAAAAAAGGAATGTGGATGAATGTCTAATTGCCTAACAAAGGCTGTTTTAGATTTCCTAACAATTAAGTGCTTCTTCACATCTTCTCAATTATTTTATCTGTTCTTTTACTCCCCTAATTTAAAGCATTTGTCTAAGCTGGAAAGATTTCAAGATCTTTAAGGAATAGTTTACAGAACACTCAGTGCTAACTGGCACAAAGCAATTAAGTGTGGAAACAAGCAACAAGATACTTATTCTACTCAATACTCAATATGTTATGTCTATATCCAAGTATCCATGGCCATTTTCTTAATCTATCTTTCTTGACAGAATATTTATCTCCCTACAAAATTGGGTATGGTCATATTATGATTAAGCTTTAGAAAATGCAGGACCCCCTGGACCAACAGGGTAGTTCCCAAATCCAACTCTGATAGTCAATAGTGTCTTGCCAGCATCTCACAATGATCTCCAACAGCTGATACAGCACACATTTCTGTACTAAGGAGCATACAACCAAATAAAAGATAAACAGGGGGAGGAGGAGGAGATTGGATTTATACCCCGCCCTTCACTCAGAGTGGCTTACAAACTCCTTTCCCTTCCCCTCCGCACACCAGACACCCTGTGAGGTAGGTGGGGCTGAGAGAGCTCTTTCAAGAACTGCCCTTTCAAGGACAGCTCTTGTCAGAAGGATGGCTTGCCCAAGGTCATCCAGCAGCTGCAAGGGGAGGAGTGGGGAATCAAACCCGGATCTCCCAGATTAGAGTCCGCGCACTTAACCACTGCACCAAACCGGCTGATAGGCAGTGCTAAGCAGTGCTAAGCAGAAGATACAAGTGCTGAACTTGCATGCAACATTTGATTATTTATCTTTCTGCGATAGACAGAAAACCTCAGAAGTTTACAAAGAAGTGCTGGCTTTGATCAATAAAATCTTATACAGCTTGGGACAAAAGTATCTGACAGACCAACTTGCTTGAGTATGAACCTTCTCATTTTCTAAGGGCTCCTTTCCTTGTAGTCCTTGCCTTCAGAAGCTAGGCAGGTGGCAACCAAGAATAAGATCTTTTCTGTGGTACCTCCACAGAGACATTTGCTTGGCAGCAACCTTACTGTCTTTTAAGTTCTAGATCAACACAGATCTTTCTGCTTCACCTACTGCTTCTATTCCTACTTACTGGGAGGATTTTATGATTTCATAAATTTTATTTTATCAGTAACAAAACTATCTGATTTTATGTTTCATTCGGTCGCTGTCACGGAGGTTTATATTGACAGGTGAGTTACAAAAGTCTTAAAGAGGAACATATTTACTCACTTTTAGGTGTACATCTTCAACTTTTATAAAGAAAGATTTAGAAACTTCCTTATTTTCTAAATTTCATCTGTGGTTTTGGTAAATGAATTGCCAAAACAAAATAATGTCCACACCGCTGATAGGCAGTGCTAAGCTTTCCAGTGTCGATATCAGCTGATTATCTTCTTTCATACCTTCCAACCAGTGTATTATCCGGTCTGGATTTTACTGATTTTCGTATTGTAATTCACTAACCTACAGTTAGAAAAATAAGCACAAAATAATTTAGATGCGGATAAAACTGAAGCATATATAAATATGGAAAAGTGCACTTTTTATCAACTTTCCAGGGGCTATATATTATTATTTCTAGTTCAAATCTAGAGAACTCACTTGTACATAAATCAACAACTATTTCATTTCAGCAGCAGGATGTAAAGCATCTTCCTATTACACACAATGGGTGGCTGCAAGGGACTGGGGAGGGGAAATGGCACTGATATGAGCAGGACCCAGAAAAATCTGGAACCTTCTCATCCACACAGCATCTACCCCC